TTGTACTGTCAGAGGAAGAAGACGATGATGACGAAATGCAGGAATTCCATGGTATGTTGGTAATGTTATAAAAAAAAAGACTTATTTGCTTTGCGAAAAAGCTGGATTTACATGTCAAAAGAATAATCGATCATTTGATGAATGATTGAATTTATTTATAATAACCGCGATATAATCTACACTTCCTGCATAGGTGCATCAAATGATCAACTCAACCAAAAAAAAAGCTAAACGTCTTTTCGAATTCCAACTCCGTAACGACATCACTAGAAGTCATGAATGTGGACAATCTAGCAACCCCTCGCAAGTATACGTTCCGTAAAAAACAACCTTGTTCATTTAAAAGTCAGATTACGGATTACATGAACATGCTATCCGGATCAGAAAACGAATCAGAGGACTTGAACAGAGACGATGATGAATACCAAGATGACTCGGGCGATTCTCCTCTATCTACACCCTCCTCCAGTCCAGTAAAATCTTCGTCGCCCTCTTCCTCGAAAAAAGGCAAATCTGCTGTAACAACCGCAGGCCACACTGCGAAACGTTTCAACACATCAACCGACTCAACATCTACTTTGTCCAGCACTAACAACGACTCTCGCTTGCAAAATTTTGCCTTTTCTAAAAACTCTTCATCTCCAACCAAAACAATCTCTTCATCTCCGACAACCAGCACGGCCGTCTTATCTCCACAAGACCGTAAAAAGGGACGTCAAAAACAACGGCAAAGGACTTTAAATCCAAAATGAAGAACGTTATGCTTGGCTTCTCAATGTTCGTGATGCTGAAGGCAATCCAGAAAACTCACCCAACTACGACTCGCGCACGCTGTACATTCCACCGGATGCGTGAAAAAAGTTTACCCCATTTGAAAAGCAATTCGGGGAAATTAAGGGCACGCACTGGGATATCGTCGTATTCTTTAAGGAAAGTTTTACGAGTTGACGAGAAAGACGCAGATATTGGTCACAAAGAGTTCGACTCGAAATTGACGGATAGGGTCAACATGAGAATGATTGGAATACCTGAAATGAGTTTCGAACATTGGGCAATCAAATTTATCCCGCGGGGTATAAGGTTGCCAGGTAGATCAAATGGAGACCGCCCTCGCGAAAGAAATGAGGGAAGAATCGAATAAACTCTCTTTCGAATCGACCGCCTTATCAGCTTCTTGAGCCATCCCGAGAAAATAATTCGACGCGAATTAACCACAATCTTGACTGGTCGACCTTTCGATGCTTTCAACACCGCATCTAATACTGCATGTCAATAAAGGAATACTTTTCTTCTGCTGACTCTTGTCCAACGTTTGGCATTGTTTTCGTCGATACTTCCACGGCCTCATTTCACTTTTCCTCTTTTGCGGATGATGCCAATAGGTCACAATTTGAAACGCTAATTGTGCAGGTAAAGCCGAAGGAAATTGCATTTGAAAAAGGGTTGCTCGGTCCAAGTCAATGAAGGTTTTGAAAAACTGTCTAGACGAGCCAATTCTGAACGGGATAAAGAATGGAACAGAGTTCTGGAATGCAGAAGAGAGTTGACAATTGGACAGTATTTTAAGAAAACGGTTGACGGGCGCGAGGGCACTCGTAGTAATGACGCGGCCGAAATCCAACGAAATTAATGAACTTCCTTCCTATCCTAACTGCAAACAAAACATCCCCACATCTTCTTTCACTTGCCAACTTCTCTTATTACACCCTCTACATCCTTCTTGACAGCCGTACATTATCGAATCTCGAAGTATTCACCAACAGCTATAACGGAAGAACCGCTGGGATATTATTTGAATTAATAGATCATTGCATGACGGCGTTTGGAAAAAGAACATTGCGAAAGTAGACCTGGCAGCCGCTATGGAAGATTGAGGAAATCAAAGAAAGACAAGGCGGTGTAGAAGTATTCAGAGAACATGAATTAAGAACCTGGGTGGATCGTGGGGCAGAGAAATTACTGATTTAAAGCGAATCATAAGCAGAGTGCATGACCGAGGATGTAAAGTGGGAGAATTTGTGGAATGTTGGAAAGCTTTGAAAATGTTGTAAACAGCTTGCACGTTCTCACGATTCCGTCGTACCAATTGTGACAATCCCGGTACGGGTCAAATTCTAGAACGCATCATAACAGTAATAACACGTTTAGAAAGGCATTAACACGATTTTCGCTTGAAAGAGTATCGTACCGCCAATTGATGGTTAAAGAACAGCAACGGTAAATATGTCATGTGATTTAACGACGAATACGAGTGATTCTGGTGATCATACTTGATGCATAAGAAATTAGCACATTCTTAATTCTGTGGGTCTTGTGTTTGACCCGGGCGATATTGCCTAACACAGGTCATAATTACTGTAATGCAGATATGTTGGTGAGACGGTGCTCATGAACGATACGTATTATGTGCAAGATTTATGCAAAACCGCCCGTTGACGAGTTGCAGCAGTAGTCGCCATCTGTTAGAGCCCAAGGAAAAAATTTTTTTTTCAGACATTCTTTACTAGCACGTCTTCAGAAATGTACAAGACAGTGATGAACGCGAACAAGATCCAGACCGTCGTGCGAGAAGGGAAATGATGTCGATAAAACGGGTCGTCTAATTTAACGATGGTTTGTTGTGGTATGAATGCACATTTCAAATATTAGACTCCTTCTTCACGGGTTGTATACTGAACTCCAAATGATATGAATCGGTGACGGAGTAGTTATTGAACGTTTAATGCTGCATCTCATGTTATTTGTTATAGTTTATTATTTATTAAAGACGAATAAACAGCTACTATTTTTTAATCCTTCATGCGTTTAGAATAACTACTTATT